GGTAGTAGTAGTAGTAGTAGTAGTAGTAGTAGTCGTGGTGGTGGTGGTAGTCGTGGTGGTGGTAGTAGTAGTAGTAGTAGTAGTAGTAGTAGTAGTAGTAGTAGTAGTAGTAGCAGTAGTAGTAGTAGTATATAGTAGTAGTAGTAGTCGTCGTCGTCGTCGCCGTCGTAGTCGTAGTCGTAGTCGTAGTCGTAGTCGTAGTCGCAGTCGCAGTCCTAGTCGTAGTCGTAGTCGTAGTAGTAGTCGTAGTCGTAGTCGTAGTGGTAGTAGTAGTAGTAGTAGTAGTAGTAGTAGTAGTCGTAGTCGTACTCGCAGTCGTAGTCGTAGTCGTAGTAGCAGCAGCAGCAGCAGTAGTGGCAGCAATAGCAGTAGTAAGCAACACCAACAGAAATAGTAAAAAGTCCTTGCAACAGAAATAGCAACAGCAATTGTAGCAACGGTAGTACTCGTAATCGTCGTAGGTACAGATGGCCGTACTCGTAATAGTGATGATCGTGATAGTGTTCGTAGAAGTAACACCCTTACACTCCAGACTCCAAGATCCCAAGAACCCTAAGTCTGAACTCAAAACCCCGGAACGCAAAACAGAAGACCTTCCTAACTCCTGAAGTTTTTGAAACGGCACGTTACCAGCCCTGAAACCCAACGCCGAAAAACCCAAACCCTAAGCCCTCCACCCAAAGTCTCGGTTTCCGGCTCCATGGGCGAGGAGAAATCGGAAGGTGACTGAAGGAGCACCGAGTTGTCTGAATCTTCGGCCTGCCCCAGAGGCTTCTCTTGAAGCTTTTGGGGTTTAGGGCTCAAGGGTTACTTTGCTTCAGGGTTGAGGGGTTACTTTGCTTTAGGGTTCAGGGATTACTTTGCTTCAGGGTTGAGGGTTACTTTGCTTGGGGCTTCAGGGGTTACTTTGCTTCAGGGTTGAGGGGTTACTTTGCTTTAGGGTTCAGGGATTACTTTGCTTCAGGGTTGAGGGTTACTTTGCTTGGGGCTTCAGGGGTTACTTTGCTTCAGGGTTTAGGGATTACACTTTGCTGTAGGGTTCACGGATTACTTTGCTTCAGGGCTTAGGGATTACACTTTGCTGTGGGATTCAGGGATTACTTTGCTTCAGGGTTTAGGGATTACACTTTGCTGTAGGGTTCAGGGATTACTTTGCTTCAGGGCTTAGGGATTACACTTTGCTGTAGGGTTCAGGGATTACTTTGCTTTAGGGTTCAGGGATTACTTTGCTTTAGGGTTTAGAGTTTAGGGGTTACTTTGCTTTAGGTTTCAGGGGTTCCTTTTTCTTCTTGGTGGCTTCTCGTGTTGCTGGCTTGTGTATTTCGTGGGTGTGAGCAGCTTCCATATACAAGATGTTTATACGCTATGTGTGTATACACAGGTAGGTCGATGGATGGATGGACGGACGGATGGATGGACGGATAGATCCAGGCGGATAGACAGATGCGGTTGCATATATCCAGTTATGTGCGTATGTACCTATGTACATACATACGTGCGTAGGCATGTACATATGTGTGTGTGCACAGATATCTGTATGTCTGCACATGCATATGTACATACAGATGCATAAGAATATAGTTATGCAGTTGCATGTGTCTCTGGTGTATGATTGTGCGTATTTCTTTTGTATACGTGTAACCCTGTGCATGTACACGCATGCGTATACATTTATGTGTACATATTGTACGTAGAAGTTGATGTACATACATACACATATGTGTATACACATATACACACCTACCTGTATATACAATATATGCACACCTGTATTTATATCTTATGCATCTGTACATACATGTATGTATGCATGCATGTATGCATGTATGCATGTATGCATACATGCATGTATGCATGTATGCATGTATGCATGTCTGCATGTATGTATGTATGCATGTATGTATGTACCTTATTATAAAATACATAGTCCGTATACGTAAACATGCATGCATGTCCGTGTGGACGCATGCAGGTGCAGACAGATCTGCAGGCTCGGATCATCAATCGTCGAATTGCCAAGTTACCCTAAACCCTAGACCCTAAACAGAATGCCTACGAAAGAGACATCGCTGTCAAAATGTTTATCGCTGTTGCTACTACTCGGAATCCTCCCGCGTCCGCTGCCGCCGCAAAGGTGAGTGATGATGCAGTCGAAGTTACTGCCGATGCCTGTGAAGACGATGATGATGGTGGTGGTGCTGATGATCATGATGACGAAGGTGGTGATGATGATGATGATGACGAGCGACCACATCAGCGCGACGACGGCGACCCGACCACCACCACCTCCGCCGCCTCCACCGCCTCCACCGCCTCCACCGCCTCCACCATCACCACCACCACCACCGCCACCACCACCACCACCGCCACCACCACCACCGTCAACACGACCACGACCCGCGATGATGCCTGGATGATGAATGCTGATAGTGTCGATTGGTGGAAAGATGCGACACCGTATCGGGCCTCAGCCGGCTGAGTCCACTTGATCGCGGTCTTCAGGGTACGGAGTCTGGCTTTCGCCAGGTTCAGCTTCCTCCGAAGTTTCGCGGATGAACTACGTTAGGATTAGGCGGGCCAAAGCCCCCAAATCGGGCCTGAACCCTCAGCACTAACCTCACTTAACTTAAACCCAAAACCCCGAGCCACAAAACCCCAAACTTAAATCCCCAAGCTAAAACCGAACCACCCAAACCGAAGACTCGTTAAGCCTCAACCAAGCAAAGAGGCGGGTGTGCTGCTAGGCTCGCAAGTCATCGGCCAAGCGCCAGGCTTAGGGTTAAGGGTTCAGGGTTTCGGGTTTAGGGTTTAGGTTTTGGGTTCAGGGTTAGGGTTTAGGGTTTAGGGTTTAGGGTTGAGGGTTTAGGGTGTAGGGTTCGAGGTTTAGGGTTCAGGGTTCAGGGTTTAGGGTTTGGGGTCTAGAGTCTGTAGAGAGCTTAGCAGTCGGTGCACGGAAGCACAAAAAAGTCGACACCATAAGTGCACAAGGGCGATGCGGGAACCTTGCTCCAACGCTATCTACTCTCCTACACTCTGCCCAACATCCCTGGCCAAGACCCTTCTGAAAGACATGCCAAGCCCTTCCTTCCAGTAACCAGTATGCGAACCACCCGCCTGCTAAGCCCTGCCCAAAAACCCTAAACTGGAGCGAGCCGCGGGCGCCGCATTTGCCGGCGGCGAGCGATACCGCGTGGCGTCAGGCCCGCGGACGAGCCCGAGCTCAAGCTTGAGCGAGGGTGAGCACGGCCCACGCAGGCCGGGAAGGGTTGAACCCGCGTGCCAGATTTTGAGTCTGGTAATCCTTAGGCTCCCCCCAGCTCCGCCCACAGGTCCCCACAGCTCCCTCCAGGATCCAGTCCACAGCTCCCCCCAGCTCCGCGCACAGCTCCCTCCAAAATCAAAGCCAGATTTTGCTACGTTAAATCTCGGGAGGGACCCTTTTCTGGCCCCGCCAAATGGACGCCCACAGCTCCCCCCAGCTCCGCCCACAGCTCCCTCCAGAATCAAGGCCGGATTTTGCTACGTTAAATTCTTTTCGTAAAATGTGTGTTTTAGAACAGGCTGGTGGCCGATCTCGGGGGGGACCCTTTTCTGGCCCTTTAAATGGACGCCCACAGCTCCCCCAGCTCCGCCCATAGCTCCCTCCCCAACAGGGCGGAAGC